CTTTCTGGCTTTATTCGACATGCAAAATAATAAAAACACAATCAAACACGTTTGGATCTAATCTAAATAATTACTTCAACCTACAACTTTCAAAAATTATACCACTTAAGCACCACTCTACGGTAAATATGATAATCACTGTTTATAGATGTGCATGTTGAAGCTTCTTTCTCAAGTCACAATGTAAAATCTCATATGTTTAATTGGGTCCTCCAAACCTTCTTTTGTCATCCTCCATAAAAAACTTTGCATTCCAACACGCATACTCACATAGGGTACGCGTAGAAAAGGTAATACATCCTCCGTAAAGGGAATGCCTAGTCTAAAGCCTGACTCGATAGTTATTTTTGGAAAATATTTTTGGTTATTTCATGGAAAATTGGGTTAAAAAGTGGTTAAATTTGTCAAATTCTCAAAATAGAAAATCAAATAATTTGCTGTAACTCATCGGCTGGATCCAACTCACACATTAAAAGTGTCTGAAAAAATCTCCATTATATCACTTTTGGGGAATGTACTTTGATCTACTTGCTGTTCTAACCTGTGTTAAACACTTAAACTTGTCCCATGTGCTTATGGACTTGTACCTTCATTTCCAATCTTACCCACTTATTAAAAGACTTGTACTTTTGTCCCCCAATCTATATCCCTACATGCTTTAACTTTTGTACCCCATCACAATCGCAGGTAGAACCAATCGAATGCTAAAAAATAATCCTGCATGTCTCCACCAAATTTGATACAATCATACAAAATACAGCTTAATTTATTTTTCTATTTTTCTTTTTCTCAGAAAAGTCCCCAACGATCAACACAAGTGGAAGCAAAATGGCGTTACAAATTGTGGTAAAACGGTAAAACTTACATGAATGAAATGAATTAACAACAATATCTACAGATCTCAACTTCTAATCACGGGTTAATTTTAAGCCCTAATTGGACATCCCAGGGGCCCTACTGCTCTCGTATCCACTACTATCACCCGATTCAATGAATCTTTTCTCCATCAACCGGTTCCCTCTGTGTTCCTGTACAATATCATCAATACTTTTGTCAAATATAGTCCTTGATTTTTCTAATAGAACATAACAATACCCTTTATTTATACATTATTACTGTCTTTGACATGTATTAGATTGAGACTGATGTGACAGTGATAGGGAAAAGAGGGAAACCCTAATTGGACTGTGTCTGGCTGATGTGAGGATAATAAGGATAATAATATTTAACTTACTTCTCTATATGGAAAATCATCGGCTTCGAGCATGTGAATGACGTGACCCATTTTAGGCCTTTTTTGAGCAGTAGGATCCACACAACGTAATGCTACTAATAAGGCACGCTTCAAAGCTCTTGAAGACGGTTTTTCTGCTAATTTAGGATCCAAAACCCCTTCCGCATTCCTATTTGTTACCATTGTTTTAAGCCAATCCACAAGATTCACCTTCCAAGACAACAAAACAAAAAGAACAATGTGACCAGAATACAATACAAAGACAATTTTCACTGCTAAAATTGGGTAGATTATTGAAAGTTTATAGATTATAGACTAACCTCCTCTGGAGGCCGGCTATAATCCACAGGGTTTCTACCACTAATTATCTCCATTATAAGAATCCCAAAACTATAAACATCACTTCTCTCATTCAACATGCCCGTGCTAGCATATTCCGGAGCAACATATCTAGAAACCAAAATCAAGAATGTCATCAACTCGAAAACATTTTTGACTCTATGACTTATGAATTAAAGAAGTGACTTACCCAAATGTTCCCATAACTCGAGTAGTCACGTAGCTCTTCTCAGAGCCCAAAAGTTTAGCCAAGCCAAAATCCGAAACTTTCGGTTGCCATTGCCTATCGAGTAAAATATTGCTTGATTTGATGTCACGGTGAACCACTTTGGGCTCAAGTCCTTCGTGCAGATAAGTCAACCTAAACAACGAAAGTTATTAGAACCCCTTTTCTGAACATAACAGGACAAGACAAGACAGGTTGTACTGTGTTTTTGATATACACTGATGTCAATAAAATTTTAATTTTGTCTCACCCAAAAAGGTAATGGCATAATTTGTGTCACCCAAAAAGGTGGGGATCGGACATGAATGCCTTATAAAGCTTGTCCAGTCTAGTCATGTCCCGTGTAACAGTCAAAAGGGTTAATATTTTGGATTCCGAAAGTACCCTTTAGCCGTTCCAAGTATAATGCTCATACGGATCTCCCATGTAAGAGGACTAATTGGTCCTACATCTCCGTGAAGCCATTGCTCTAAGTTCCCATTGTTTACAAATTCATAAACAAGAATCCTAATCACAATAATCAAATTCCAAATCAAGAAATTGTCCAATTGATCAAAAAGGTTTTAAATGGAAGTAATCAAGAGTCGTACCTTTGAGCTCCTTCTGCACAATAACCAAGAAGCCTCACTAAATTCTTGTGACGAACTCGTCCAATGGCTTCCACTTCAACCTTAAACTCCTTCTCAGCTTGTCCTCTGTCAAATCCAACACAAAAACAAGAACGCTAACTGATTTATCATTTGAATATATCTATAATTCAATAATATGAACCTCAATTAGTTCCCTAAACTGAATAAAGTCAAAATAAGAGTTTATTCACTGTAAATTAACCTGTTATTGAGCAAATTTTTGACAGCAACCGTTGTATTATCCATTAAAACGCCAGAATAAACAATACCATATCCACCTTCACCAATCACATTTTCGTCTGAGAACCCATTTGTTGCAAGCTCAAGCTCCCTCAAAGTATACCAATGGCCCCAACCCAAATGGGAAACTTCGGGTTGAACAGAAACAACCGAAAGCTGATCACCCGACCCGCTTCCATAAGACGACCCGCCACCACTTCTTTCCGGGTAAGAAATGCGATGACCCTTTCCAATTTCTACCTGGATCTTCTCGAAATTACCATTATCTTCAGCTGCATGGCTCGTCACTATGGCTAAAGTATCCGATTTGGTTGCTGTGTTTACGACCTGCTGCTGATGCTTGTTGTTGTCGTGAGCTTTAACAGTGTGAATTCGGGTCGGGTCGAACCGAGGTTGTTGAAATTCGTCGGTGATTGTTGGGATTGTGGGTTTTTGAGGTACTGTTTTGGTCTTATGAAAGGTTTTTTTTCGTTTCGAGGTGAAATAGAGTGAAATGAAGAACAAGATGATGACAATGGCGGCTCCAAAGCAAATTCCAAGAACAACCCAAAATTTTAAACCAAAAATTGAGGTTTTCCGGGAGAGCTCGTCGTTTAGAAAACCGGACATTTTTGTTGTCGGTGTTTGGTTTCTGCTAAACAATCTAAAAGTCCATGGGAACGAAGCGTTAAAGATGTCAAGAAGGGAGACAAAATTACCAAGGATGTGGTAGAAGAACAAGAAGACAAAATTGAGTAGGGACTGTAGAAGAGAGGGAATCCTGCGTTTCTGAATGATAATAGAAAAATCTTCTATTTACCATTAAGATATTTGGAAGCTTGTATTGGGATTCATTTTATGTAAGTTGAATATATATTAATTAATATAATAATATATTGGTATATACAAATACAAATTGGAATGCAATTTACTTTTTTATATGTAACACTGTATTTACGAAAATGAATATCCTAGAAGTTGCGGTATCAAGGTGTCGGTAGAATCTAGGATAGACCAGGTTGTTAAAAAAAAAGGAAAATTATTTTATAGATAGGTTATTATCATTATAGTCCAAGATGCTATCACCACTTTTTGAGTTTTTCATTTTTATTTTTTACATTCTAAATGCATAAAATTAATATTAACCTGATTATTTAGTCACTTTCCATTGTAGTCGGTTTTTGTTCCGGGCTAACAAAAGAGACGGTATTTTTCATTCAATGACATGGTTGCCATATAATATTAGGACACACTACCGGCTTGGGAAAAAAAATTGGTACTCCCGCTCCCCTTCTCGACATCTCACACTCCAGATTTCTCTATCTCCCTCTACCCCATTTGGGATGTTTCTCAACCTTGGTGGATAAACAAGCTCCATATGTAATTGCAACCGTGGTGATTGTGACTGTGTTGATTGTCGACGTTATTGCCCCATGAAGAGAACCGAACCCAACAATGGCAGTGTAATATCCAATTTCGGATGTTCCTGATTTCAGGATAGCGGATCGTGATTTGACCAAGTAAAGGGCTTCAAGTGAATAGATGTTAGACCTTATTGGATGTTGATAATGTTGGTTAAGTGATTTAAGGCCCTAAATTGTGTGTTGGAGCCAAAATGGTAAAATGGAAAAAGTAATATTATGTACTTTTGTATGTATTAATAAATTAATTTATGTATGCTTTAAGCCAAAAGTAAGTTGATAGAACTGTGGGGTTTGTGAATACATTCGCGAGCATATAAAGATCACTAAAAAAGGAGTTAGAACGAAGCAGTTATAATCGTTTGAAGTTGAAGTTGAAAACCGGAAAAATCAAGAATTTATCGGGCGTGGAGCGCCCATTAAAAGCGTGAGGCACCCCGGCCTAGTGGGTTGCGCGTTTTTAGGGTGTTTGAGGTATTTAAAGGCCATTAGCTCTTAGGGTTTGATCATTTTCAGCCTCCGACACCCCTATATTATTCTTTGAGTGAAACCCTAGCCTCCTTTGAGTAAAGAGAGTTTATCCTCTCTCCTTGAACCATTTTTTGGTGCAATTTAGTAGTGATTTGATGAAGATTGAAGATCAATAAAGTCTAGTTGGTTTCAAGGGAAGTCGTTTCAAGCTTAGATCCATAAACTTCATACATTTTCTAGACTTTTATAAGTAAAAAGCTTCAATCTTTCCTTTATAGTTATTAGATCTTGCTAATGGTCCCTTTTATACACTTTTGGTCCATTTTATGAGTAATCTTGGAGTTTAGTGAACTCCAACATCTTCTGATCATTTTGGAATGATTCTTGGACATCATAGACTAGGAAAGTTATGATCTTTTCTCTTCTTTTTAATTCATGCAAGTTATCTTGGTACTTCAGGTCATTTTGGTGTATTAAAGTTTAGATCTTGAAATTTTGTGGCATTATTATGCATAAAGTTGGAAACTTTATCCATCTAAACATCATGTTGATTCAGATTTGAAGGTTGGAGACTTGGACTTAATGGATTAAGTTGAGAATGACACATTCTTGGTCCCTTTGAGACTTAAAGTATAGATCTTGGTTGTTTGGACCATCCTAATGGATAAAGTTGGAAAATTTATCCACTGTGAAGCTATTAGGTACCATATTTGATGTTATGAGCCTTTGTGTTTAAGAAGTAAGCTTTTAATGAAGAAAATAATATTCTGTCAGAGACCACGATATGGCCAAGGAAGGCCCACGACGTGGTGGTGCTCTCGCTCGCGACTGTTTTGTTGTTTGGCAGCCACGTCGTGGCCAACAGGTGGCCACGACGTGGTGGTTCGCTGATTTGACTTTGAAAGTTGACTTTTCGAGCAGTTTGACTTTTGGTCAAACCTTTGTAGAATTGGGTGTTTAGCTAATAACTAGTCTCGGTTTAGCATTAGATAGCTTGTATTAGTTGTTTTGTTGCTAAGGTTGATGTTGAGCTTCTGTTGGCTAGCTCAGGTGAGTTTTCTCATTATACTTTGTACTGTAGTATGTATCATTGTGTGTAGGATATTGTTATGTTGTAGAGATTTGTTAGGTAGATAGATTTGTTATCGTTACATGTGTTTTCCTGTTATTGTTATGTGCATATGTCGACATGTTGTGATTGTGTAACACCCTTCGCCAGGGCCCATTTGTAAAATAAATTTTCAACAAAGTTTTACTTGCTAATATTCAAAAGTTTCAAGTTTAATGCGGAAATTGTTTAGCGGTCCCAAAAGTTTAGTAAAAGTTATTAAGGAGCGATATTGTTCATTAGGTATCATAACAAGGTTCAAGTTCCCCACAAGTCGGGTGTAACGTCCGTGTTTCAGGACTAAGCATTATTAGATGATGTAATAGTCTAGGTCAACTATTGTAACTCTTTTTGAAGTAATAAAGATGAATTATTTGAGTATTATGTGAGTTATGTGAATTTATGTGTTTTTTGTTTAATTATAAAGATATAATTAATAAAGAATAAAAATAAGTGTCAAAATTAAAGTGTGAGATAAACCCAATATCTTTACATAAAGTTGTAGTGGTCGAAACAAGGATTCCGGGGGTATAAAGAACGCCGAAATCCGAGTTATAAAAAAGAAGTTATGACCCGTCGCAGTTTCGTGACAGAACCGGCTCGGCACCGGGAAGACGTAAATAGTGAATTTACGATAGAAGACTTTTTAGCCTTAGTGATCTAAACAAAAGTTGTAGTATACGTTAAACCGAGAACATACAAAAAAAGAACGCCCAAATTTGACTTCGTATGAGGAAGTTATGAATTTTCTAAGATTTGGCATAGCAGTGCACGACCCGAAACTCGAATTTTAGATCGAGCGGTTTTTGGCCTACGTGAACTAAATGAGAATTGAAGATCTCATTAATAGGAACTCAACGGTAAAAAGACAGATGAAAATGGAGTCCGTATGTAGAAGTTATGAATTTTACGCGGACATTTAACAGTATAATCTTCTCGTACTGTTAAATTTAAGATCGGTCGAGAATTAGCCGAAGGAGTCTAAATGAAAGTTGTAGAACTTATTTTACCTACGTGTGGATGTAAAGAACGTCGAAAACGGAACTCATATGCGAGAGTTACGATTTTTCTAAGTCGGGAGGGTGTTGTGCGAGTTTTGGTGACGCGACGCGATCACAGCCGTTGCTTCCTCCCCAAGGCTATCCACCAGATGGTGACACGTGGAACATTACGACCAGCGTAATTTTGAATACGCTCAGCGTACTCGGCGCTGGCAGCCTATAAATAGACGCGCAGATCTCCCATTTTCTTCACAACTCTCCACTTCTTTCCTCCCAAATACCCCCAAACCTTCAAGGTTTTTCCCTAGCACCTCCAAGGTGTTAGACGCAAGTCCCGGAGCACCGGGAAGCTCCGAGAAGAAGAGCTTTCGGCTCAGAACCGCTGCTCCGAGCGAAGCCCGGTTTTCGAGAAAACCCGCTGTAAGTGAGCTACGCCTACGCTATTTTTAATATAGCTTT